CTCTTGGGCCATTAGCATCTCTCTTCTTTCTGCGTAGAACCGTTTCCGCATCGTGGTGTGCTCTCAGTTTTATCAGTAGAAGCCGACCAGCGAGCATTATATAAATCCAGCAACGGTTCTCTATTGCGCAAGGAGTAAGTAAATCCACGCCGCAACATGTGAGCATAGCGAGCCGAAGACAAGAGCATTTCCAACTCGCCATCTCATTTCAAGGTAGAGCCATGCTTTTCGCTTGTCAGACAAGCTGGTCAATGACATGGGTTTGGAAATCTGTTGGAATATGAAATAAAGACGACAACCCGCCAGTTGAGAGACTGGCTTCATTGTCCCGAGCCCGTATTGGGGATCGACACTACTCATCGCGGGGTCGGACAGGTCGGGAAGCTCCTAGTCTCCGCACCAGGGTGTTACGGGCGCTTGGATGTGGCTCGGATAAAATCAGCGGTGGAATAAAGGTTAGAACAAATAAAAAGTGTAAGCTTATCAAGCCCGTGGAAGTAGCTAGAGCTCAAAGCGTGCAGCTTGGAACGATTTGCGCCATTTTGGTCAGGTTTGACCGGATCAACCATTCTGGGTCGCCAATCAAAACTATACTGACCTGGCAGGCACCGACGCGAAATGGATGGTGAACAAGTCCAGAGCAGGCTGAGCCTCTATGTGTCGCACCATCGTGGGAGAATCATAGGTCGGGGGCCTTTCCCTCAAGGCCAGCAGATATTCGGCAATCTGTCAGTCGGCGTGTTACTTCCCTGCAAAGCGGTACCGGGAGAAGAATCCAGAAGGAAAGAAGAGCATCAGTATTAAATCCTTCGATACAGAAGCTGCTATCTTCGAAGATTGATAGTAAAGGAATTGAACATGGTTGAGCCTCAATATTATTGCTCCCAAAAGGCTCAAAATATCTATTTTTTCAGTCCAATTCCCGTACTGAATTACATTCTGAAAATGTTAATTAGCAGAGAGAGGGGAATTTATAGCCACTGTAGCAAAGGCTAGAGCTCGTTTGACACCATCTGTTGAGGATTGAGAGGAAAAAAGGAATATGGGCAAGAATAGAAGAGATCAGAGCAATCTCATCTGGGACTTAGAAAATGTCCATGTTGCTGTCAGATATCATGAATGGAGAGGATAAGCTCCAGCATATTCAGCCTTAACTTCACTGGGATATTAAGATGCATGTGTTTCCTTGTGCCATTGCTTTTTCAAGGTATTCGTGGAAGGTTGGGCCTCCAACATCAGTGGAACTTCGAAAGAACGAAAGGCAGGCCGCGCTTGGCGAAACATAGGGCAAACTCTCTCAACGGCCACGGGATGCTCCTGAACGAAA